ATCCCCCAAGACAAACCTTTTGTGGCACACACAAGCCTCAACGTCTCTTGGCTGGAATTCATACCCTTATGCACGAATTCCTGCCCTTACTCCAATCTTACTGTAAGGATTGAGGTAGTTAATCCATTTATACTCGTAGCATTCATTACCTGTGGTTGCTCAAAACACATGCTCCAGGGAGCATCCTGCTATTTCATTAAAAAAAAAAAAAATTCTTTTTTGTCTTGTCAGTCCGGATTCAACCATACTAGGGCGTCAGTAATGGCGCCATCAGACCATGGCCTGAGGAGGTATGCAGGGGCCAGGGGGCCAGGGCTCTTGCCCATCTGCTCAGACCCCTTGAGTGATGAGGCCTCTTCCCTGCCCTGTACCCCGGTCAAGAAGCATCCAAAGGAAAGAAAGGGAAGTTTCAGCTGGTGTCACTCTACATCTGAATACAAGGATACGTTCTGCATCTAAACCTCCAAATATCTGGAAGGAAAATGGCTTTTACGTCCCCTGGCATTGGTAAGGGTTTTTCTTCAATCTTCCTGCAATTACATGTCAGACTGTGTGGTTTTCCTTCTACTGGTTTTCAACAAACAGGCAAAACAGTCCTGTGGTTTGAATGGCAAAGCCATTAGGCTCTCCCCATGAACACTTCAGGGGAAAGGAGGAGACCCCACTGGAGGAGGAAGCAGGGGCTACCTAGAGGCGCAATCTCCTCTGAGGACTCAGGCTCGGCACCCTCTGGGGCTCTGAGGTAGTTAGTAGCACTGCTGGTTCCCAGTGTGGCAGAGGGTATGTCTGGGGTAGAAGGAGGGGAAGGCACCCTTGAGAGCTAACTGAGGCCCCTCCTCACCGCCAGTCTGCCAGGCCTGAAGGGAACTCTGCAGTGCTCTCTGCAGTGGGGAAAGGGGACAAGAGCAGTCCCACACAAGAGTCCTCAACTTGCCCTCCTTGCCCAAAGTGCAACTGGGAGCCAAAGGACCCCCTTTTCTCAGCTCTCTACCCCTTGGCAAGCACCATTCCCAAGTCCCCCAGGAGACTCAAAGGGGAGGAGACCTGTCTTTAGCTCACACAGTCCTTAGGCCTCTCCCCCTCAGACAGCTGGGGGTGATGTTGAAAGATGGCTACTGCTTTGTCTCAGAAACAGCCTCTCTCAGCCTCTGTCTGTCTGTCTTTGGCACAGAGGAAAACGGACACATTAGAACTAACTGGAGCATCCCTCTCCAGAGTCCTCAAGTTTTATGGTGGGGTCTTTTCGGCCAACTGTGAGGCATAAATAAGAGAATAGCTCCCAACTTCCCCCAGTAGAGAGCTCAGGAAAAAAAAAGTCGTGGAGCGGGGGCGGGGGAAGCCTGATAAGGACTGGAAGGAGGAGAGTTAAGAGTAGAAGGGTGACACAACTCCCTGTTCTGAAAAGTGGTTCTCTCCTACCCAGACCCCTCCCAGAAGCTGAGTCCACAACCCAAACTGTAAAAGGCAACTGGACCCCAAAGGGGATTAAAGCCATTGGGTGTAACTGGCAGATGCAGCCTCAAAGTCAGTCAGTGAATCAAACCATTTTGGTGTTTTATGTATTTCAAAGAATTTAAAAATAGATCCTAAAGAGATGGTCCTTTCATAAAAATATATATATATGCAACACACACACATATATATCTTAAAGCACAGAAGCATTTTCTTTAAAAAAGTCGCTTTTCGCAAAACCATCCAAATCTCCCAAGTGCTTTTCACAATAGCTTGTTATCTCACCAAGGATGGGGAAATAAAGGAGGTGCTGAGCAAGGCAAGGAGTTGCCCACAGACCTGGCCTTTGGATTACAGGAGGACCAAAGACAGGTTCTTCCTCCCACTACCCCTTAGCCACCAGCACACACTCCTTTGCTGTCTGGTAACCTCACTTCCACGATCTTCCTACTGGGCAAGTATCAGTGATGATTGGGGCCTTGTCCAATCCAAGTAAGCTTTCCAGTCCCTTGTCACACTTTCCGGGCTCCTCTGGGAGCTGAATCAGGAAAAGGACTCAGGCTTAAGGTATGAAGGGAGCAGGCCCCGCAGGAACTCAACACTGCAACAATCACATTTCAAGTACTGTGGGATTTTTCTTTTCCTAATGATCATTTTGAACCAGATATCAAAGCATGCTTGCTGCTGGAAATCCACTTTAAATCACTAAATGGCCGATGTCTGAATGTTATCTGCTTCATTTTGGAACAAAGCATATAGAGCCAGAGATGGAAAGCTGGGAGACCCTTTTTGTGTTTGGCACAGGAGGGAGGCGTAACCCTATTGGCCTGATATCATCCCTAAATGCTTTCTTGCTTCTCCTCTCTTTGGGCTAGGTAGTTCTAGGGCTATGAAGAAGCATCATGGGGACAAAGTGGTTAAGATCATACCACAGCACAAAGTTGTCCCCATCATGTCCCTGTTTATCCTGCCCACCCACCACCCTAAAATCAAGAACTCCCTAACTATTGTGGGTCCATTTTTAGAACCTATCAGATCAATCTACAAAAGATAGGAAGTCAGAGAGGAGGCAATTATCCAGGGATCTGTGTGGCTCTTGGTCTATGGATATACACTAAGAATAGCAAGATGCGTGGAAATGACACAGCTGCCAACAAATAAAAAATAAAAACAAAAACACTGCAATGACAAAACAGGTAGGCCTCTCTGAGGGTGAGAGGGTGACCTTATCTTTCTCCCATGAACGGAATCTTGGCTCCCATATTTAGATAGAGAAATATAGATTCTTCTTAAAATGGTATATTTTTTTAAGCTATTATTTCTCTCCTCGATAAAACGGAGGCACTATTTTAGAACATCACAACAGCACCACTGATGGTAATAACCGGCTGGGATGCTGTTTAACCAAAGTGGGGAAGAAGGAGGCCAGAGGGCCAGGTAGTTTTTGGACAGTGTTGTTTTGTCCCAAGGGGACCAAGGCTCTGCCAGGTCTATTAATCTTGTCAGGCAGAGTAGTCCAGCAGGTGCTCCAAGGTCAGAGATCAGAGCCTCGCAATGCTCCATGCTGGACCCCTTGGAATCCTCAAACCTGGGCCTTCCTTCTCCATCCCAGCCTCCTCCCCAGGGCCCAGCCCTGCTGCCCTCCCCACAGGGCCTGTTCTCCATAGGGAGTTCCTGAAGGGTTACTGGCTCATGTTGTAAGAAATTATGAAACATAACTTTCTCGTTTTTTTTCTTTTCATTAAAAAAATAAAATATTCAAGACTATCAGCTTCTCTTTTGCTTTGCTTTTCTTTTTTTATATAAAATATCAGCAAGCCGCAAAGAAAAAAGATCAAAAATTAAAAAAAAAAAAAAAGAAAGAAAGAAGAAGAAAAAAAAAAAACAGGGTTTGGGGGAACAAAAAGGAAAATAATTGTGAGGTAACTTCATACCTTGAGGTAGTTTACTTTGCACACAGCATTGCCTGACTCTGCCCACACGTCATGGTTGTTTTGTTGTCACTGTTGTTGCAATGTCAAAAGGAGGGGGACTCCACGCATGAGCTTTTCCCACATGCAGAAAGGGCCCTCCTCCCTTCCCAGCACACCTGATAGTATTGTCCAGGGTAGCTAAAGTGCACCGCCTGGCTAATATGCATTAACAATCAGTACAGTATTAGGAGGGGAGGCCTAACCTCATTTAATTGATGGCTGCTGTTCTTCCACAAGGGCTAAACTTCCTTCCAACGGGATCTTATTGAGCCTGGTAAATTAATAAATTAAGCTTATTACCCTTTTGTGCAGAATGCTGCTGACATTCTGAATTTCGTCCCTAGGCACACCTTTCATCACAACCGTAACTCATGGAGGCAGAAGCCGTCAGTTAAATACTCCTCTAGAATAAAAACAAGCAGATACTCTCCAACAAACCGAACTGGTCAGATGATGGACTTCAGCTTTATCAGGAGCTCACAGTCGGGTTCCAAGTCCCATCACCACCAAGCAAAGCAGTGCCGTGGGGGGAGAGGACCCCGCAACCCTTGCCTCTGGGAGCCAGCCCTATAGGAGCACAACGGGCTGGGGTGAGGGCACCTTTGGGCCGCTCAAGTCCTCCATGGAATTCAGACTTTATCAAGGGGAGTTCATGCCCCCTTCCCAGTGCTCATATCCAATCATTAAAATAGACTTTAAAAAAATATAAAATTCGCCTGAGAATGGTGGGAATCAGGGACAGTGGTTAGCCCCCTACCCTGCTGAGCTTTCGGTGCCACCCACATGCACCTGACAATGATGTGAGCCGAAGGGTTAGAGGGGTGTGAATGTGGTGGGCCATCTTGGTGGGGAAGCCCCAGCAGGCAGGCAAATTCCAATTCTGCCAACTGGCAGATCAGGACTAAATCAGCCCAAGGGCACTTCTTTTAAACGTGGATTGGTATATATATTTAATCAACTCTCTCCCCATTTTGCCCCCTTCTTTCATCATCCTTGCTCTTCCTATTGACTGGTCTTTGGAATTTAACTATAGGACAGGTCTTCTCCACAGTCAATACTGTAAGCAACGCAATGTATTAGTTCCCTTTTTTTCTATAGCAGTTCAGATAAAATAGTGTGAATGTAGAAAGAAGTGGTGTCAGGGTTCTGAGAATGGAGGTATTTTAATCAATAACCAAGAAGGGAGAAGAAGGCTGAAAAGATTAACGTCAAGAAACAAACCATCCTTTGAGGTTTTTAAAAACCTGAAGGAAATTTTATTTCTTTTCCCCACTGGGGTCTGACCCACCCTCTTGGTGGGGGGCTAGAGCTCTTCCTTACAATCCACGTTTAAAAGCACCCTGAGCTAGAATTGCAATGGTAACATTCCAAGGGGTGAACTGTGTTGGGCCAATTGGTTTGGTGGATGGGGCCAGGAGATCAGGGTTCCTCACTGGAAAATCTTTCTCAAGTCAGTGGGCAAACCTGATCTCCAGCCGGGCCCAGGGGCCCCTGATTCCCACTCATTCTCAGGCCTGCTGGGAGAGCACACTCTCCAGTTCCCCCTGTTGTACTGGAGTCAGTGGAAGGGGCTGGTCACTTCCTCCGTGCCTGGGCCTGGTTGCTCTGTCCCTTCTGATGCTGCTGCTTCACCTGAGCCAGGATGTCTCGGATCTTCCGCTGAGCCATCTGCAGCAAGAATGGGAAAGGGGGAAGGGGAGACCTCTAAGGAGAGAGACTCAGGACACCAGGAACAAACAGAACTGGCACTCAGGACTCGGAATACAGGTAAGAGGAGGATTGAGGGTCAGGGTGATCCTTGGTTCCTGTCTCCAGAGAATCCGAGCATCCATTGTGAAATACAGCAAGTAAGAGGAGATGGGCAGGAAAGGGAGGACAAACGTAGTATAGCCCCATCTAGTGGGATTTGAACCTTTATAAGGTTTAACCCCAAATGGAGCTCCTGGGGCTCTGTCCCAAAGTGATAAATTAGGAGATACCATCATGAGCCACTAGTCAAGTAAATATCCAGGAAGAAAGTGTCAATAATAAACTCCATTGTGAAATGAATAGTCTTTACTCTCTCCTTCTTAATGCTTTGTTGTTGTTGTTTTGGCTTTTTTTTTTTTTTTTTTTGGTGGGAGGAGCAGTTCTGTGGTTTGAACTCAGGGCCTCACATTTGCTAAGCAGGTGCTCTGTCATTTGAACCATTCCATTCCATTTTTTGTGTTGAGTATTTTTGAGATAGGGTCTCAAAAAATTATCTGCCTGAGCTGGCCTCAAACTGAGATCCTCCAGATTTCTGCATCCTGAGTAGCCAGGATTACAGGTATGAGCCCTGGTACCCAGCTGTTTTGGCTTTTTAAGACAGGGTCTCACCATGTGGCCTGGCCTCAAACTTATGATCCTTCTGTCTCTCAGCCTTCTGTGTACTGGGATTGCAGGCCTGTGCAAGAGATACTAACTGCAAAATAGGATTGAGATTATAGGAATTTACCAGAATGTGTCCTTTCTATAAACAGAGTGTTTGATTAAAGAGAAAGTAGGTCTAGGGTGGCAAAGGACTGTGCTCAAGTCTTAGTCCTGGTTTCTAGTTTTAACTCTGGAGTGCTTTAAACTTTAGGAGAAGTCCATGAACTGTCAATCACCCTTTCCCTACCTTGCTGAAATTGAGCAAAATTTGAACCTGCAATTGGCCTTGATTTCCAAGCTCTGGAGCCTCCCAGGTGCCCAGGGCAGGGATGAGGAGTTCCAAAAAGGTGATGGGAGAGGGAAAGGGAAGGGAAAGGGGAAAGACAGGAACTAAGGAAGAAGCAGTCATTCTGGAAAAACCCAAGAGGCTGCATATGAAAACAGTCATTACTATGGCTATTATTTCAAGAACAAGGCTGGACACGGAATACAGACTTCCTTCCATAAACCCAGTGCAACAAAGGGTTAGAGAAGAGCAGGACACAGTGGTTCACACCTGTAATCCTGACTACTCAGAACAAACCTGCAATCCTAGCTATTCAGGAGGCAGAGATGGGGATCACAGTTCAAAGCCAGACTAATTTAAAACACAAACAAACAAAAAAACCTGGGCGTGACAGCACGTGCCTTGTCATCTCAGCTCTGAGGGAAAGGAAGCGTGATCCAGACTCGCCCAGGCATAAAAGCCAATACCTTATTCTAAAAATAAAAGCAAAAGGCTGGTGGCATGGCTCAAAAGCTAGTGGGCCTGCTAATAAGTTCAAACCGCAGTACTGCCTTAAAAATAAGAGGGTTAGAGAGGGACAGCAGACTATGAATATACATAATGCTATCTATAACATAATACATACAATAGCTATATGTAACACATACTATACGTGAAACCTGTCCTTTGCCTAGGGAATCTGAAGAGGAATAAATTTGCACAGTCCACTCCTGCACCTGAACCTGGGGTCCGATCCAGCCCAGAGACAAGCAGACATGGGGAAGCCACAGGAAATGTGTAGGTCACACACATCAACCTCTGGAGTCCTCATTTCTCTGCCTGTGGCCCCCGAAAACCACCGGAGATGGGAGAAAGCATGTACCTGACTGGCGTAGAAATGCCCAATGATCTTCACGATGACTTGGTCATTCTCGTCTGGGGTCTGGTCTCTCGGTACTACCACCTCAGCTGCTGTGAGATTCTGCAACTCATTCACCTGGGGGTGACCAGAAAGGAGCTCAAGGTGCTACTATGCAAGCGTGGGGTTGGGGGGCCGGGGATGGTGAAGCTCAGAAGTAGAGCACTTTGCCTTGCATGCACAAGGCCCTGGGTTCAACTCCCAAAGCACACAAATAAAAAGCATGGTGGGACTGGGGCGTGGGACTGAGAAGAGTCAGGCACTGAGCATGGGGAGAAGAATTAAGCCAGTGGGGAAATAGTGAGTTTGCAGTGGAACAGGGCAGAGGAGCAGAGGCCAGAGCAGAGCTGTTGGGTTTGGAGATCAAGGCCTGGAGCTTTCAACCTGGCTGACAGGACTCACCGTTTTGCCACCTTTGCCAATGACCCGGCCAGCAGCTGAGGCTGGCACCCGTATGTGAGTTTCCAGCTTTACTTCCTCCTTTGGGCCAAAGAAATTCTCCTCTTTGAGTTTGCCATAAATCCTTCCCTGAGCCTGGGGAGAGGAGGCCATTGTTAATCAGCAGGCCATCTATTTGTAGTCAAAGGAAGAGCAGCCCCAGCTCAACACAAGTGCAGCCCCACATACCAGGCTAACTTTTTCTGGCACACAGGCCTGAGCCCCCAACATAGATCAACCACCTAAGGCAAGTGGTTGAAAAGCCTAGCTTGGAAACCTGTCAACATCCCCCCATATCTGTATAAAGGACACCCTAAGACATAATGAATTGTGAGTAACTGAGCACATTATTTCCCAATGACTATAAATTCATTAACTACAAACCAAGCCTCTGTGTTTTGAGATGACTGCACTTATCTGGACATGGTAATGACTAGCATGTTAAGACCCTGAATGGCAACGAATTGAGTCAGGCAGAGTGCAGGTCTGCTGGGCAATTCCAGAAAGCCATCCCAGTTCTCTATGTACACACAGGTAAGGTTAGACTACTATTAGTTCTGGCTGTCTGATCGGATGTTCAAGAATTTAAGAATATATTAGGAACATAAAGGAGAAGGGAATTTGACATCAAATGCAAAGACCTCTGATTTCAATCCCATATTCCTGGTGTGGACCTAGTCAATAGAAATTAAGTTTCATGCTCTTTGGAAGCAATTCTGCATGTATATATTCTGCAGAAAATACTGAATGATGTGACAAGAATCTGACAGCTAATGAAAGTTGTCCATCTTTCTCCTGCCCTTGGGAAAAGGGAAATTCCCAACCTCAGTTCCCCTGTATCCAAGTTGGAATATCAGTACACAGCAGACCTTGAATTGGGCCTCTGGGGGTCCAGTGATGATAACCATTCGAACTTTGGAGTCAGGTGTTTCAGGTGGAGCAATCTACAAAGCAAAGAGGTGGTCAAAGAGGGACCCTCTGGGAAGACCTCTCCATCTCCATTCTGCCCAGTCTCCTCCCACCACCCTCCCTTCCACTGCCCAGGGGAGGAAGAACAATGACCTCAAAACCCAAATCACTGCTGTGAACATCAGAACTGTTACAAGGGCATAGTCAGGTTAACTAGAAGGACTTGCTTTAGTGACACTTTTTCAGAAGGTTCTCCCTGCCCCTCCCAGTTTTGGGGGGCAGGGGGAAGAGTGTGGTTCAGTGGAATCCTGACAAAAGGCAGGGACTCAGATGAGATGGCTAAACTTGAAGTATGGTGACAGATTCTCCTCTATCCCCTGGATCCTGGAAAGGTGACGTGTACATGGTTTCCTACTATTTTACTGATGAGAAAAGTAAGGCTCAGGTCCTTCTGTATCCCTGGTGGGCAACAGGTTGAGGCTTGGACTGGGACCCAGGCTAGTTTGTAACAGAACCTGCTTCTCTTTCTACACTACAGTCTTGCTTCCTGCTCAGTGTGGAAACCCAGAAGCACTAAAGGTGCCCACAGAGGTCTGAGCAAGTCAAAGCAAAGAGGACTTGGACACCATGGGGAAAGGCCCCTAACTGAACATGAAGCACTCTCAGAAGCTGGAGCATGTCTCGGATCCTGAAAGAGCCCAGAGCAAATTACCTTGATGGAGGCACTTGCGAATCGGGAGAGCTGTTTGATGTGCTGGCCCTTCTTGCCAATGATGGCGCCCACTGCCTGGGCGGGGATGAACACCTGCACCATCTCCTGCTCTGGAGCCTGCTGCCAAGACACCAGCTTCCTTACCAAGGGCTCCAGGGCATGGCCCAGGAGCTCCTCTACCCTGCTACCTTGCAGCCACAAGGAAGGGGTGCAGGTGCCCACGTTCACCCTGGGCTGCCAAAGGATGCTATAAGCCCTTTGGCTCTTCCTAAGTCCAGCAGGGCTAAAGAAAGAGGCCAGGTAAGAAGGGGAAACTGCTGCCAACATCCAGGCAGCATCCCCTTATGGGCTCCCCACAGCAGTCAGAGACAGTGCCTGGGAGCCATGCAGAAGAGGGCACTTCAAAACCTCCCTTCCTTCTCCTTGCCAATTTTCAGAACACCAAACTCCCATGGGGACCCCCTGTAGTAAGATCTTCCACCTACCATAAAGGAGCTGTAGGGAGCAGCCCCAGTAACGCTGCTGGGAGGCGGTGGGACTGCACTGGACGAAGCTGGGAAAAGACCTACAGCAGCCAGGTTGAGGCCAGGGATCAGATGAGACTGTAGCTGGGGAAGAATGATAAGAAACAGGTCAGCTCGCTCCTCAGAACCTAGAGGTCCCTGGTATGTGACCCTAGCTGAACCAAAAAGGGAAACCCCCAGGTGGAGTGGGACAAAACCCTAAGAATTATATGCTTTTGCATAAAAACTTGCCTGACATTAAGGTCTTCCTTGGGGTGTAGAATTGAGTGATGTTCTCAAAAGAAATAAGAACTGGCACCTCCAATCAGAAAAAGCAACCAGCTGTGTTGCCCTTCCTCTCTGGTTGTTCCCTCCACTGATGCTGGGGTGCTCCCCTTGACTCCAGTGGTTCTGAGCTTTTTGTCAGGTTCCCCACCCTCACTCTCCTTTAAAAATTCGATTAAATTATGAGCCTTCTCTCTACTACAGTGCACATGAAGGTCTGAAGCATAGTGGTAGAGCACTTGCCTAGAATTGAAGAGACCCTGGCTTCGATCTCCAATGGGGGGAAAGGGAGAGGTACACATGATCAGCACATTTGTATGAAAATGAGGGTCTACATTCTACAAGACGATCACAAGACTCCAGACCCCAAACTGCATCTCAACTATGCAAACCCCAAAGATTGGACCCCCACTGCCACGTGAAAAGCCCTGATCATTAAATGCAACTTAGGAATGAGGCTGGGAAAAGAATGACAAGCAGCCAGGTTGGTTGAGGCTTCTGGGGCTGGGGCTGGGGCTGGGGCTGTAGCACAGAGGTAGAGCACTTGCCTAGTATATGTATGTGAGGTCCTAGGTTTGATCCCCAGCACCCCAGCAGTGGGGAAGGGGAGGGAAGCCCATTTCAGGTGAGTTCAGGTCCAAAAACATAACCAGCCACACAGTACAGGGCACAGGTTAATCACCCCACCCATGGCTGCTTTGCTCAGATTCAGGGAAGGGTGTTTAGTGGGGCCCTGCCTAGCACTCACGCTCATGGCAGCCACGTCGTTCTCATAGGCCTCCCGAACTTTCTTCATGATCTCCTGCTCAGCCCTGCAGCAGTTCTCGATGGCCCCCTTCACAGTTATAGTCCTCTCAGGGTTGTAGAGGGTGAGGTCCTGTAGCCTGGCACAAGAGCAAGGAGGTTAAGCTTTCACTGGCAGCACAGGACCAGGCCATCCAAGACCATCCAAGGTCCAGGGCTGCCATTTCTACAGGCTGTCTAACTTTTGGCAAATAATTCCCCATCTCCTTCAGGGCCTTCAGGGCCCTCTGGTAACCAGGGCAGGGAGGATGGTGCACGGAGACAATAATACCCCAATTGAGACCCAAAGGGAAGGAAAGAGGTTTGCACCTGCTTCACTGATGTCTCAAGGTAATTTCTTTGCTTGTACCTTTTGGCAAGCTGTTACTCCGCCAACAGGCTAGCCTGGGGAAATGGAGAGGCACAGCCCTCACAGACAGCTAGTCCACAACCTTCACTGGTTATTCCACAGAGGCAGCCCACCACATGGGTTGAAAAGACCGAGGTCCATATACTTCTCATGATGGCAGACAGGCTAAGTCCTGATGCCCTGAAGCCCTGAAGCCCAGGCTCCTAGCTGCAGGCTTTTCTCAAGATGCAGAGGAAAAGAATGGGAAGATAACAGAGGCAGCCCCCTCAACAGCCCCCATCCCATATGCCACAGGGATGAGTAAGCTCCAGCCCTTACAGATAAAAATGTTCGCCACTTCTATGGTTATTTTTACACAAGCAGTAATAGCACCCCAAGCAGGTGTAAGGCTCTATGATGAACTACCATTCCCCAGCTCCCCATAAACAGAAGAACCAGTGAGAGCTTTACGAGGAGATGGTGATTTTTGTCTCTGTGTCCTGCTCCACCTTCTTCAGGTTACGCCCTTCCTTGCCAATGAGACGCCCCACGAAGTTATTGTGGGCCAGGATTTTCAGGGGGACCTCGTCAGCCCTGGGGAAGAAATGGGGGACAAGAACTCCTTTAATGTTGGCAACAAGGAGACTCAAACATCAGGTCATTCCTGACACTGGGTTTCCAGGACAAACTACAGGGCAAGTGTCAGAAGTTCACAAAAATCAGCAGATCAGCAGTTGCTAGGACAGAGAAATGAAGGAGGAGGGTGGATTGCAGAAACTGTGATTGTGGTTTCAAAAGGTACTATGCAAATTCGGGATGGAGGCGTGGCTCCAAGGTAGAACACCTGCCTAGTGAGTGCAAGGCACTGAGTTCAAGCCCCAGTACCGCCATCAAACTGTATGCTTGGAAAATGTAGTGAAAACACATGTGATTAAGCCAGGTTAAAAAAAAAAAAGTATGATTTATTATATATCAATTAAACTCTAATAAAGCTGTATCAAAAAAGGGCAAGTGCACAAAGGAATGTACGTAAACAGATTCCTTGCATCTTTGAATGTAAATATTGCATTGATTGGGACCAAGCCCAAGTCCTCCTGCATGGGAGGCAAGCCCTCTACCACTGAGCTACACCAAGCCCAGTTTCTACTTTTGTACAGTTTTTGACTGCCTTCTAATCTCTGTATTATTGCTATTAAAAGTGTCAGTTGGCCCACTGCCGGTAACTCACACGTGTAATCCTAGCTATTTGGGAAGCAGAGGCCCACATCTCCAAAACAGCCAGAGCAAAAATGAGAACGTGTTTAATCCCAGTCCCATTTCTCCTGCCACCAAAAAGTAAATAAGTTGGGGTGAGGGCTGGGGATGTAGCTCAGTGGTTGCCTGCCATGTGAGAGGCCCTAGGTTCAATTCCCAGCATCAAAAAAAGGACAGCATGGGAACAAAGTTAGTGTGTTTGGAGGAGGGAGATGACAGTCCCTGAAGAGCCAACCTGGAGCCTTACGTTTTCGTGTCCTTTGCCTCCTTATGCATAATCTCCAAGATCATCTTACAGGCTGAGGAGCAGCCTTCAGGGGTTGAGTGGACGCTGATGGCCTTTTCAGCTGCACCTGCATTCTCCTTCCTATGTACATCTATCCTGAGGACCACAAAGACAAAGTCAGTTAGTTGTCACTAGCAACCCTGGTCTTCAGGCTCCCCCACCTCTCAGTCACAGGCATAGAATCCACTCTTCTTGGAAGTGCACAACTAGGAAGGGAAGAAAAGTGCCAGGGAAATGTGAACTCTTGGCTCTGTCTTTCTGAGGTGGTGGTTGAGGACAAGAGTGCAATGTGCCACATGGACACTAGGGTAGGGATTATCAGGCCGGGGGTGGAAAGCCACATTTTCCTTGATTTCATCATGTCCCCTTGAAGATAGCAGGAAAACACATTGTCCCACACTGCCCCAACTGTAAAGACATCACATGACCTGTTCTTTCCCACAGAGCACAATGGTCAGCTGTAAAGGGATGGTTGTGTTAGGACGGGAGATGGGGCATAATGACACCAGTGATGGAGGACCACCAATAAGTGTTCCTGACACCATGGAGCACCAAGAAGTGGCTGACTCAACAATACTCAATTTGCTTGAGGAGGCTTTCTATGAAACTTTATAGGAGAAACTATAGAACCCTTCTTGCTAATGATAGTCCACTGCTAAAACCCAGCAACTGCCATCCATGGTGTACCCCAAATCCTCTCTCGTCTGCCCACTCCTACCATGGAGGCAGGACCGGAAGCAGTGACCTGACTGTACTAGTAATATTTCTTAAGAGGAAGTATTCATGCCCCAAGCGTGCTTCCCAGGAGGCCTCCCCTGCTACCACCCAGTTCCCTGCACCCACCCGTCCTTTCCCAGCTGCCAAGACTCACTTGGACTGGGTCTGTTTTGTGATGTTGCGAATGGTGGCACCCTCCTTGCCAATGATGGCGCCCACATACTGGGTGGGCACCAGGAGCCGAAGAGGAATGTCCACTTGTTGCTGCTTGGCCGGGGCCCCTGCTGCTACAGGCGAGCCCTGGCGGGCTGACCCCTGGAACCAAAGCCTCCTCTACGTCCATTCTCAGAGCCCTGTGCTATCTGCTCATCAGGAATGTAAGAGACCTTCAGGGCATGGTTCTCCAGCTGGTGGCCATTCAGTTTCATGATGGCTCTGGGGACAGAGAGAACAACCACTGGTCACTCCAACCCAAGCAGATCACATCAGGTGCCTTCATTGTACAAAAGCACTCTACTGCGTTACAACTTGGAACACACTGAAGAAAGGGAGATAACTTCTGGTTCACCATCCCACCTATTATTTAGGGAACATTCCAGTCTATATGGCTGAAGACAAAAAAGAATAGTAGTTAATACATCAATGCCAAACATTTGGGTGAGATTTATTGATCAGAAAGGTGGCTTCCAATCCACTAAGAAGCACAGAGTGGTCCTGATTTAAAAAGTAAGACCAAGCTGTAAAACTCAAATCTTGTGTCACTTCGAGAGTACCACATACCTGAAGTGGCTAAACAAAGCTGACACTTGCACTTTCTAGATTGGGTACTTCTACCAAGGCTTGAGGAAACCAAGTATTAATCACTACAAAACCCTAATTTTATAATGAAACCAAAGTCAGAAGAGATTGACAATTCTGTATGAAGTATCAAATGTGTTCATTCTACCTGGCAGCTCCCCCCAAATGAGACATGGAGCAAAGACACTCAATTGAGTTATGGCACTGCTAGTTTTATATTAGGCAATTCACAACCTCATCTAGTTCTGTCTCAAAAGCTTGCCCTGCCTATCTTACAGCTGTGATATTTAGACCCGTTATCCATTTGGAGTTAACTTGTGGGAACAGTACAAAATAGGGGGGGGTCCAAATTCATCTTTTTGCATGAAAATATCAAACTTCCCTGGCAACATTCTGTAAAGACTTTCTTTCCCATTCGATTTTTCTTAACACTTTTGTATTTAAAAAAAAAAAAAAAAACAAAACTTAGTGATAAATGTACAGGCTTATTTCTAGGCTCTGGATCCTGTTCCAATAATGTTCTTATTCTTTAATCTGTACAAAAAGCAACTTCAAGTAATCTCTTGTTCCATTAATCTTGATGTCTTATCTTGATGCCCATAATGTACTGATTTGAATACTCTACCTTCAAAATAGTTTTTCAAGTCTGGATGTTCAAGATTGTTAAGGTTAGTCTGGATCCCTTACATCTCCTCACACTGAATTTTAGTATTACCCTGTCAATTTCAGTTATCATAGTGGATTCATCTGACAATCACCTGTGAAAGCACATGACAAGCTAAGGTGTTTGTTCTTTACATTTGTTAAGTCTGGCACTGTTTGTGGCTACGGAAACTCCATGCAAAAGAAGTAGGACTAGTGACAGGATGGTCTGCTTACTTCTTAGAGACTGGAGTCCAAGGATATCTGGGAGGTCTATAAATCAGGACAAAGACTGAAAGTAGAAGGCAAGCCCATCCATTCTCAAGACTGGCACTATTAGAAGTGTTAATGAAAGCTGGGCACAGTGATACAAGCCTGTAATCCCAGCACATAACAGGCTGAAGCAGGAGGACAGAGTGCAAGGCCAGCCTGAGGAAGGAGGCGGAGGGGAAGACACAAAAATAGTCAATGAGGCATTGAGCCAGGGTTGACATGATCTGTAAAGTCAGGCCAGAGCAGGCACTTCTAGAAAATTCTGAGCCCAAGAGGCACACATCTAACACAAAAACAGTAGGCACAGAGTGGTGGGTTTTCACAAAGTATCACTAGTTTGGAGGAGGCAGCATGCTTAAGAAGCAAGAAAGCCATCAAAAGCAACTTGTGGCAAAACCCTATAAAGTGTCAGAGATGGATGTAAAGGGGAAATGTGTAAAATGTGTGCTGTTTGTACCCGTGGTAAAGAAGCATAGTTGTTCCAAGTAATTATGGTGGAACTGAAAGGATCCTAGGAGAGCATCAGCTAGGCTCCCCCCCACCCACATGCCTGCAATAGGATGTCTGGTCCTGCATTAAATCGAGACTCCTTTTCTGAATGCAGTAGTTTCCTCATCATAAACACTAGATGGCGCCGTCAACACAGCAAAGGACTTGCATTTCCCAGGCAACCAGAGACCCAGTAGAGCTGGGGAGGGCTTGGGATCCCTCCCTTCAGCATATGCTTGCTATCAATCCTGAAGAGTTTCTGAACTATTGAGCTCTCTGAAACATAGGACATAAAGGAAGCACGCACCCCAAAAAGACCTTGAGGGAGTCGGGTTAGCTGAGCCAGTATCAGAACCCAGCTGGGGACTCCAGCCTGCCTGGAGTCACCACCACATGCCCTTCACCGTACCCCTGTCTTCCTGTCCAACCAAGCAGAGGCACCCAGCTCCCAGCACCCCACACGGAGCCATCCTCCCTCCCCCGCCCCACCCCCGACACTCACTGCCTGGTCTGCTCCCGGTTGGAATAAGTGACATTCACCACTGCTGTTTCGCTCTCTGTGTTCACTGCAGGGACAACAAACAGGCCAGCATTAGAGCAATGAAATCTGCAGGATGAACCCCACACACATACACACACCCCACCTCAGCTTCCCATGTTTTGAGGTCAAGAAGGCATCCAGCAGACTTGTCTGAGTTTGTGAAACGCTGGAAGGAAAAGTCAAAATCAATTTTCCTGAGGCCCCGTTCACCAGAGCCACTGAAAAACTCAAATTAACCTTTCCTTGCATATCCTTTGTTTTCCTAGAATTTTTCCTCCCAGCCCCCCAAAAGTGGGAATAAAGGGTGTGGCTGCCCTATCAGCAGAGCAAACACCCCCACCAGGGGAAGCAAACTTACCCTTGGAAAGTTAAACTAGTTAAAAATCAACACACTGGTTGAGATTAGCGATTTATAGAGGTAAATATCCCAAGAAATAGAGCTGAAGAGCCTTGGGAACACCTAAATCCATTCTAGATAGCCTCAAGGACACACTGACCAAAGTGTACTAAGATCTGGCTAAACAGGCTGACAGGAGTGGATTCTAGATGAAAGGGGGAAGAAAATCTGTTTGCATCTTTGCTAGGGGAGGATTTCCTGCCTTGAGTATTGCAAACATGCTGGCAGTGGACCTGGACACACTTGGACCATCAGTGTCGAAACACTTTGACTCCCATCAAAGTCCTCAGCTGTAATTCTGAGCAGACTTTTGGCTCTCATGTAATCTCTCTATATACTCTTTCCTACAGGACAAGACGCTGGCCATCTGGTGATAGAATTCCAAGCAGTTGGGGCAAATATTTTTCACTTTGATAAAATTAGCCCTCTGTTAAGCATCAGTCTTGTGAATTTGGGCTCCCGAGGAACTGGCTTGATTCAAGGCTCTACAATCCTGAGGATTAAGTGCTTGCTTGGTCACAACCCCTCTCAGGACTTCATTGCTAGGGTCTGTTAGCTTAGAGGTGAAAGTCTGCAAAAATAATAATCCTTTGGGAGGCTGGGAGCCAGTGGCTCATACCTGGAATCGTAGCCTCTTAGGAGGCAGAGATCAGAAGAATGGGGTTCAAAGCCAGCCCGGACAAATAGTTTGTGAGATTCTATATAGAAAATGCCCAAGAAAAAGAACTGGAAGAATGGTTCATGTGGTAGAGTGCCTGCCCAGCAAGTGAGGCCCTGGGTTCAAACCCCAGCACCACAAAAAAAAAAAAAAAATCCTTTCTTTAGTGGGAATACAAGAATTAACCAAAACACCTCTGCCTAACAGACCCCATCTCTAAAATAACCAGAGCAAAATGGACTGGAGGTGTGGTTCAAGAGGTAGAGTGCCAGTAATGTGAGCTAAAAGTCTTGAGTTAAAAAAAAAAAATTAGAGATCAGCCGGTCACCAGTGGCTCACACCTGTAATTCTAACTACCCAGACCTCAGGAGGATCTCAGTTTGAGGGTAATAGTTTGTGAGACCCTCATCTCCAAAAATAATCCTGAGCAAAATGAGGTTCAAGGCCAGCCCAGGCAAATAATTCTCAAGACCCATCTCCAAAATAACCAGTGTAAAGGGGCTGGAGGTGTGGCTCAAGCGGTAGAGCGCCTGCTTTGCCCAGAGTTCAAACTCCAGTCCTGCTGGGTGCCTGTGCCTCCCGCCTGCAATGCTAACTACTCAGGAGGCAGAGATCAGAAGGATTGTAGTTCAAAACCAGTCCGGGCAACAGAAAAAAACTGGAGATTATGTTAACTGAAACAAAGCAGATTCAGAAAGACAAATTCATCTCACATAAATTGAGTAGAATGGTGCTTATCAGAGGCCTGGGAGAATAGTAGGGGAAGGAGAGATGGAGAGGTTGAACAGTGAGTGGATCCTAATTATGGTCAGATGGTAGAAAGAAGATCGTCTATGTCACTGCACATAGAATGAAACTCTACTAGAGATTTCAAAAGGCTAAGGAGTTCCAATGTTTTCACCATAAAGTGACAAAAGAGGAGATAGGTTTAACCTGATGTAACCATTACAAAATGTATCAAATTATCACATAGCACCCCACAAATAGGCAAATTTTTTTTTGCATGCATGCATGCATGCATTGACTTAAAAATTATCTAAAAACTACCTATGTTGGGCTGGTGGAATGGCTCAAGTGGTAGAGTGGCTGACAAGCAAGTGTGAGACCCTGAGTTCAAATCCCAGTGCTGCCAAAAAAAAAAAAACTACCTACGTCCAACCAAAACCACTCCATTTTATTCAAGCTTAGTTCATCTTTAAAGAATTTATAATCTTAGTAATGAAGAAACCTCAAAATTATGGCTTTCTATGACCTAAATTCTGTGTTTTTCCTTCTTTGGGCCCACTCTTCAAAGATTTTGCCTACTCATCAAATTGTATTAAGTAATAAAACCCCTTCTTTTTAAAAAAATTGATCAGTCATATGTACCTGCCAATCAGAGCCTCTAAAAAGGCAGAGATTTAAGTAAAAGAGCTATGAACTTGCTCAGGCTGAATACATAATTTCCATTCTTTTCCCCTTTTTTTTTGGTGGGACTGGGATCTGAACTCAGGGCTTCACACTTGCAAAGCAGGCACTCTACCACTTGAGCCACACCTCCAGCCCATTTTACTCTGATTATTTTGGAGATGGAGGGGTCTTGAAAACTATTTGCCTAGGCTGGCCTTGACCCTCAATCCTCCTGATCTCAGCCTCCCAAGTAGCTAGGATTACAAATGTGAGCTACTAACACCTGGCACAACTTCCACTCTTAAACTATTACTAGGGCCAGGAATCCAGGTCCCCAAGCCTGGTATCTCCATTCTATCCAGGTTTTCCAGTGGATTTCATCATGGAACAATGTGAGGCAGGAGTCTTACCTTGTTCACAGTTCTCCACTGTGCCATACTGAGCCAGCAAGCTGTCCAGTACCTGAGAGCATGGAGAAGAGAGGGAGTCTGAGCACCCCAGGTCTGAACCTTGGGGACATGGGCAGAACCATCTGGGGGACTATGTATTACCGCTTCTCAGTTTGCTCTCTCAGGTCCTAACCCTAATGGTGACATCAGCCAGTCCTTTTGTACTTGAGCTCTGCATTACAGACCTTTTTGGAAGCACATGGACTGACTGGGTTCCTGTATCGGTTTCTGACACCACCACATGTTAGGATTCAAGGAACACCCTTCCCAACTCCTTAAATAGGGACAGTCCAAAAAGTTGGGTTATGGGTGAGGATGAGATCCAGCCAACCTCAGACCCATGGGGGGCTCTCCAGTCATTTCTGTCAACTGAGGCTGACCCAGACTTTCTGTCCAGGCTCAGTACCCCACCCCACAAAAAGCTTCCCCAAAAAGCACTTACTTCCCACCGGAGCTGAGGTGGAATATTTCGTATCTGAATTTTTCGACTCCTGAAAGAGGAAATCAGAGTTAAAGTTCTGGGTGACTTAGGTGCCTGTGTCCTGGCAGTTTCTAGCCCTTGTACCAGTTTTTATCCCCCTAACCTACTGCTCACACTCATCAACACCAAAATCTTAGTAATTTTTTCCCTATTGCTGGGGATTGAACCCAAGGGCAGCTTTGTGCATGCTAGCCAAGGACTCTACCATGAGCCAAACCCCAATCCTTTACAATGGCAACCTTCTAGACATACAGATTTGGAGTTGGGGTGCCTCACCTCAGAGACCAAGTTGTCAACACTACCAGAGAAAATTCAGAATCAGATATTCTGAGCACAATTCCCAACTGCCTCTAGCTTTCCCACTTGGTTCTTTCTGTCCCAGGCACTAGAAAACAAAGCTAGATAAGACAGTTAATATAAGAACTATTTAATTGGTACCTACCTCATACTCCTTACTGCTTCAGAGGTTGGAGACACCGCAATAAACAAAAACAAAGAGTCTGGCTGGAGGTGCTCACGATGTGAGGAAACAGAACTGTGCAATGAATTACAGCCAGGTAATGTAGCACAGTTAAGCGCCTGGCACAGATGTGGATTTAAACCACTTATTGGCTCTGCTCTTTAAAAGATTATTTAAATTCTTTGAGGCCCAGTTTCCTCTTTGTAAAACAGGGATAATACCTATTCACAGGTGGTAGGTGGTTTAGATAATATTTGTAAAGAGCTTAGCAAAAGGCATGGAAGTAAGTCCTTCAAGTGTAACAATAGATGCATGGGTAGATACTAAAGGGGGAGTGATTAACCCTGGCACAAAACAGTATCAGGACTACCTTCCCCTCCCAGTTAGCTATACTTTCTCTTCCCCACCTTTCAAATGCCCCTAAAACGTAATCTTCCCTGAGAAAAGCCTTCAGGTTCAAGGTTGAACTCCCAGGGCAACTGCCCCCCACCCAAATCAATAATCTAATCCATGAGTTGAAGGCACTGAAATTGACTTGATGTGTTAGTCAATTGTAATTTAAGTCTTTGATCACAAAATTAGTTCAAGGACAAAGTCCAACAGAATTCTAGTGGCTTGAAGGAAAACTGTAGTAGAAAACAAGAAAGTACAGTTCAAACTCAAACTACCCTGATTGTTCAGTCTGATTAAGTCACTTATACTCAAGCCTCAGTGTCCCACTGACTTGCAATGGGGACCACATTCGCTCTGTCCAGCTTTGGGAAAAGAAAAAGATGCCACGTTCTAACTGTAAATGTGTCAAGCTTGTCTGTCTGAGCCAGTCCTCTCAACCACTGTGACCACAAGTGTCTCCAGGTGTCAAACAAAAGCAAAGGGTGTCTAAGATCCGTTGTAGCTTTGCAACTGAGTGTGCAGATTTTATCCACGAAATACATGAAGGAAAAATCTCTTCCTGGAATGAAATAGGTTAGGGAAAAGAGGATGTGTGGTGAACAGAGTCCTCCACTTTGGTTGGTTCATGACCAACCAAAAAAGGTCAGATAACAGTAAGACAGTATAATGAGTATCAGAAACTGGTCCAATCCCAGATTCGCAGATCCCATCAGGCCACGTAGTGGATCAATTCATTGGCCAAGAGGAAGTTCCACATCTGCCCTTGTGAGAAATTTCCCACACTGTGCTGAATAGACCAAATGCACTATTTTCAAACAGGTAGAGAACTGGGGAAAGAAATGATTGCATCACTGGAAGATTGAGAGCTCTGACCTGGCTCAACAGGGTAGCAGGAATCACCTAGGCCAGGACACCCCTCCCCCCAGGATAAGCCCTTCTGGACAAAGGGCAGGGAGATGGGGGTACCTGGCTGAGAGTTCCAAAAATAAGAGCCTAAAGCAACCCTAGTGCAGGAGCCCAGTTTGAAGTGTGCTCTTTCAAGATGGTCCCTTAGTGTAATCTAAGGTCAAAGGTCAAAACTTCCCTCTCACTTCAAACACCCACTAGTAGGGGAGTTCTTCCAGTGAAGGCAGGGGGAGAGGGATGGCAGTGGTGAAATCAAATCTCTGCTGGGATGTTAATCCATATCCTGAAAGCAATGGCAGGCAGATCGTCTGGAATGTCTGGAATGTTCCAGGAGAGGGAGGGGGAGGAGGGCAGGGCACCCAACCAATGAAAGAAAAGACATCCTTAGCAGCCCTCCTCCACCCCTCTAGGGCACACACCCCACCCTGGGAACCCACTCTATGCCCCTCCCATGTCTTCTTTCAGCAAAGCCCCCAGCCCTGATTAAAACACAACAGGGAAGGAGGGCCTGGAAGAGCTGAGTCCAGGAAGGGCCTTTGTCTTCTAAACCCTTGGCCTAGCTAGTGTCTATTAAGTATAATGCAATCTGATTCCAATTCAGGCCCAAATTACATGAGGCAATGCTGAGAATTGTAACCTGCATCCCCTTGCCTGGGACCCTTTGGGTAATTCATTCATTCCTCAAACAGGTATGAGAGTCCCAATGTGGACTGGGCTACACTGGTGTGTTGACAACTTGAGGAATCCTGGAGGCTAAGATCTCCCTAACTCCTTCCCTCTACTTTGATTTCCTCCTGTGAAAACTACTAAGGCTTTTGTTAGCACTTAGAAGGTCTGTGAAGCAGACTGCCTGTGTAATAGGCTCCATCCAAGTCCCAGTCCTCAGAAGGCTGCTGTCCCCACCAGCAAGAAGAGAGGCAAGAGGTAGGGCTGACCTGAGCCACTTGGCAGCACTGAGTTTTAAACTTAGGGCCTCACGCTTGCTGGGCAGGCACTCTTACCACTTAAGCCACTACGTCAGCCCAAGCCACTTGGCAGGAGGGTTGGGAAAAATCTAAAGTCTTCTGTACTGATGGGAAAATGCCACTGCCTAGAGTCCCCTGACTTCACCTTCCAGACCAGGGCACCACACCCTGAATGCTTTCTCCCTGCCCTGTGCAGAGTACCCAAACCCCAACATGCACTAATCAGCAAAGAGAACTCCCACAGGTTTATTAACTTTCCCCACCCTCCAGCAGCTGAAAACCTGTTGACTGAAAGAGTGAAACTGTCACCAACAGCCACAAAAGCAATGGTTGCAGCAGCCAAATTATTTCACTGGGTGCCAACAGCCTGTGGATCTCTGGGTGTCCTTCTCCTGCCCTGGTCCACAGGACAGAGATCAGGCCCTTCCTCAGAGGGCGGCTCACCAGACACAGCAAATGCTGCTAGACCAAACTGGCGATGGGAGGGCCAGGGAGACCAAGCAGCTGTTCTTCAGAAATGGGAAGATTCATGAAAGAGCAGAGGAAGAACATCATTGCAGCCTGGCAAAGTGGCTCAAGAGCCTGCCTAGCAAGCATGAGGCCCTGCGTTCAAACCCCAAGGCCGCCAAAAACAAACAAACAAACAAAAAACATTGCAACAGTATAAGGAGCTACTTAGGAAAGCAAGCAATTCAGGAAACTCAGGGGGCTGGGCCCCAGGAAGGGGACCAGGGTGGGAGCTCTCTCTGGGCCGGAAGCTCTCTCATCCTTCCACTCAAGGGTTCAGAGAAGTGTCACCAACTTAAGACTGCAGTGGAAGGGAAATGGTCACGACTGGGGAAGAGCCTCACTTAAGCTTTAGTTGAAGGGAACATTTATGAGTGCTTACAGGAAGATTCCGAGTATCATCTCCTATAACCCTCTCATTTCCCATAAACCTGTTTCACAGACCAAGGCCCTGGCCCTGAAACTGGGGCTGAATATCTTCTCCAAAGTACACAAGTACTATGAGCCTGAGTGAGGATTTGAACTCAAAACCCATCTGAGCCCAGTCTCTTTCCATGGAGCCTGTGCTATGTTTTTGATGACATATAGAAGACAAAAAGCCTTCTGCTAAACTACAGTAGTGTTAGACCTACGTAATGTTACTAAGAGTTGCTGCCAGGCACTGGTGGCTCACGCCTGCAATCTAGCTATTAGGAGGCAGAATCTCAATTCAAAGCCAGCACAGGCAAATAGTTTACAAGACTGTCACAAAAAAATCCAACACAAAACAGGATTGGCTGAGTGGCAGAGTCTCTGCCTCGAAAATGTGAAGCCCTGAGTTCAAACTCCAATATCACAAAAAAAAAACTAAGCGTAGTAGTTAGCAGTGGGCCTGCCGCGTGGGTGTTGCAATCCCACAAAACAAAATATCCTTCCTATAAGTTTGTTTGTTTGTTTTTTGGTGGTACTGGGGCTTGAACTCAGGGTCTACACCTTGAGCCACTCCACCAGCCCTTTTTGTGATGGGTTTTTTCGAGATAGGGTCTCCAGAACTAGAACCAGATCTTCCAGAGTAGCTAGGATTATAGGCAGTGGCCGGCTTCTCCTACAATTCTTTAAGCTATTAGCATCTTTTTCCAACAGCATACTTTCATTTTATGGTACACCCAACATGAACTGGTTTGATATCATTAAGACAGAATCGTTATTCTTTTTAAGTCATATTGTGAATTGTAAGGTTCTTATCCTTCGCAAACCTACTCCTCCCTCTTTCTTCCCCGCTTCCCCAGGGGGGAAGGTGCCACTTGCAATCATTTTGATGGCTTCTCCTCCCTAATCTGAGGAGTTCCTGAGGGCCAGGGCAGGGCAAGACAGTTGAAGGTGGGGAGGAGGGAGGCAATGGCAGGTTTTTGGAATCCTGTCAAGTTTGGGGCCCAATCCCCACAGGCCCCAATCCTGAGTCAAGCCTGAACTTTCAGCTGCAGCAAAAATAGGATTAAACTGGAATCTTCAGATTAGGGCCTTCATCTGCACCCCTCCAAGGCCAGGCTTCTGCCTCCACCTGTGCTCCCCAGATCTCCGGCAAGTCAGGCCTTCCAGTCTCTGGACCTCAGTTTCTCACATCTGAGAAACAAGCAGTGGGATTAGTCCATGTTACAAGGTTCTGTGTCCCCAGACAGGGATCGACCCTGTCTACCAAGAAGGGAATTTTCTTAATTAGAGGGATTTTCTGTGCCTTAATGGTCTGAATAACTGGCTATTAACTTCTTTCAGGAATGTGATGAAAGTTACGAACA